ACTTGAGGTGGGGCATGGGAGAACAGGCCCCCTCCTGGTTTGTCCAGCTGGCCCAGACATCCATTCCCCACCCAACCCACCACTTCAGAACCAGGAAAAGACCTCAGAGAACATCTGCTCCAACTCCACCGACGCTCAGACACGGTGAGGAGTTGGCCCCACGTCACACAGCCTGGTGTATGTGGCAGAGCCTGGGTGACAGTCAGTGCCACCAGGTCTTCCAGCTCCAACCTTGATTGGAAGGGGAGGAAGGCACAGCCACCACGTGCTGTATTAGTGGCAGGCCAGAATCACCTGCCCAGTGTGGCCATGGGCAAGTGTCCAAAACACGCCGGTTGTTTCCTATTGTCTATTTTTAAAAAATGATGGCCGGCTGCAGTGGCTCATACCTCTAATCCCAGCACTTTGGGAGGCTGAGGCGGGTAGATCACCTGAGGTCAAGAGTTCAAGACCAGCCTGACCAAAATAGTGAAATCCTGTCTCTACTAAAAATACAAAAGGCCACTTTAGAGGATACCCTAAGAGTTTTGCATACCCTAAGAACTGCAGGGTGCTCTTGGGCTGCTTTTTTCTCACCTCTGAAGAGCTGAAAAATCAGTGCATGCGTTGTGTCCTCAGGCCATGAGGCCTGGGTGGGCCGGCTCCAGTCTTGATGAGCCTGCAGTCCTATCTAAGCCAATGGGATACCACCCTGAGACTTTGCTAGACCCACCTGGCAAGAGGGTCTCTCTTATGCAGGGGCTGCTGTCTGAGACTTTGTCTAGTGGCCATTTTGCTGACAAATGGGGACAGTCGGTCCGAGAATGAACTGGTATAGAGGAGAGCAAACCCAAGAGTTGAAGAAGGATGAGTGTCTTGAAAGCATCGTCGAACACCCTGGCGCCAGCTGTGTCCGAACCAACTGTCGACCTGGACTGTTCTTTACATATATGCTTCATTCCCGTTCACTGCATTTTCAAACCATCCTTTGAGCTGGGTTTCCGTCACTTGTCACTGACTATTCAGGCCGTTCTTGCATTGCTATCAAGAAATCCCTGAAACTGAGTAATTTGTAAGAAAAGAAGTCTAATTGGCTCATGGTTCTGCAGGCTGTACAGGAAGTATGGTGCCGGCATCTGCTTCCAGGGAGGCCTCAAGAAGCTTCCAGTCATGGTGGAAGGCAGAAGGAGAACGGGCACATCACACGGTAAAAGCAGGAGCAAGAGAGAGAACATAGGGGGAAGGGGCTACCACTGACGACAGCCAGACACAGTGAGAACTCCCGACCACGAGGCTAGCGCCGAGAGGACGGAGCTAAACCATTCATTAGAAATCGGCCTCCATGGTCCAGTCACTTCCCACCAGACCTCACCTCCAACACTGGGGATTACAATTCTACATGAGATTTGGGTGGGGACAAATATTTGAATGTATCACTGGCTCATATAAAAAATTCTACGTGCCCTAGCTGGGCGTAGCGGCTCACACATGTAATCCCAGCACTTTGGGAGGCCCAGGCAGGTGGATCACGAGATCAGGAGTTCAAGACCAGTCTGGCCAAGATAGCAAAATCCTATCTTGACAATGCAAAAATTAGCTGGGCACAGTGGCAGGTGGCTGTAATCCTAGCTACTCGGGAGGCTAAGCCAGGAGAATTGCTTGAATCCGAGCGGCAGAGGTTGCAATGAGCCAAGATTGTGCCACTGCGCTCCAGCCTGGGCGATAGAGTGAGACTCTGTCTCGAAAAAAAAAAGAAAAAAGAAAAAAGAAAAAAAATTACCTGCCCTAGAGTCTTTTGTTTTTCTATCTGTGTCCACTAGCCACAGGTAGCTTTAGAGCACCTGTAATGTGGTGGTGTGACTGAGGAAGAGAGTTTTAAATTCTAATTTCATTTTAATTCATAATTTGAGTAGCCACATGTGGCCCGTGGCTGCCATATTGGCCGGCACGGCAGGGTAGTGTCTTGCATCGGCAGCTCTGTGAATTTTTATGTATTTCTCTGTTCATTTGCTTAACAGACAACAAGTTCCAGAGGCTATAATCTGGGTCTCCTCTGAGACATGGGAAACGTGGTCCAGGCGCAGTCACAGTCCCTACAGGCCCCCCAAAATTACCGTAAGGCAAGGGTGAGAATGTGGCATGTCTCAGAGGAGACCCAGATGATAGCCTCTGGAACTCAGTGAGATCCCTCGTGAGCTCCCAGAGAAATGCTGGGGGAGGTGGCGGGATTGCATAAGACTCCTCGAGGGCGGTTAGTCAAACACTGAGAGGAACCGATCTATCTGTGCTCTGCAGAGGAGCCCTTCTGGGACACAGGCCCCCATCTGAGAGGCAGCTGGAGAGGACAGGGTTAATGCAGACAGAGTTCAAGTTCTGGCTGTATTAGCAGTGATCACTTAAAAGAGCTCCTTCACTCACCGACTCTCGTCAGTGAAATGGTAATAGCATGAAGCCCTCGGGATGGTTTTAGGATTAAAAGAGATACTTGTGCAAAGCCTCAGCACACAGTAAGTGGTTAGAACAAACATATGTACAGAATCTTAGCTGCCAATTATTCTGAGGACTCAGCCCCCTCCTCCTGGGGGGCACCATGAGGCTTAGAGACTCAGGGATACCCAGCCCCTCACCTCCCCTGACATGAGGCTCTACCCTTCCATGGGGGCCAGGTCTTCCTTTCTTGACTCCCCTCAGTGCCGGGGCTGCCCCGGCTGCAAGAAGAAAGAAGCCCTGCCTGGTCCAAGTGAACTGAGGGGAGCTGGGCGTGGCCCACCGGGTTGAGGACGCTGCACTCCCGGTTCATTCCCTGCCTTTGGAAATCAGCAGCACAACTTGCAGCCAGCGCGACTGAAAACAGGCATCTTGGGTAGATTCTTCCTGACACCTTAGTTGGCATCCAATCAGCTATGCCCTGGCTACCGTGGTGCCGCCTCGTGGGCCCATTGCATTGGGCTGTAGCCTCATCAATGTGACTTAGCCATGAGCCAGAGCAGAGGGAAAGAGCAGACCGTTTGCAGAAGGCAGCACCTCGTGCCCACGTGCCGCACTTACGAAGCACTAATTGCATCAGGGATGACACAGATATGCGGGAGCCAGATCGAGGGGCCTGGGAGAGGGCAGAGGCCCAGAAGAGGATCTGCTACCTGATGCCCCTTCTGTACCCTTGGGAGATGAGCCCCTTGCCCCCAGCACTCCAGCCTATAGCTTCTTTGTAGACGTGGGGCTCTGCCTCTCCTGCCACAGGACCTTTGCACACACTGTCCATTCTGTCTAGAACCCTCTTCACCTGCTGAACTCCCTTCAACCCGGGCCTCACTTTCTCTTTTCCATAGTAAATCCCCATATGAAAAGATATGAAAAGCCCTCTGCTATCAGACTTAACTACAGTTGGCTGGGTGTGGTGGCTCACACCTGTAATCTCAGCACGCTGGGAGGCTGAGGTGGGGGTGGGGATTGATTGCCTCAGGAGTTCAAGATCAGCCTGGCAACATAGTGAAACCTCTACAAAAAAAAAAAAAAAAAAAAAGCCATCAGGTGTGGTGGCACATGCCTGCAGTCCCAACTACTCCAGAGGCCGAGGTGGGAGGGTTGCTTAAGCCCAGAAGATTGAGGCTGCAGTGAGCTATCATCATGCCACTGCACTCCAGCCTGGGAGACAGAGCAAGGCTTCATCTCCCCAAAAAGAAAAAAAAAAAAAGAAAAAAAAAAAGACTTAGACCACAGTGACACTTGGCTCAATAATTCATGTCTGTCTTCCCCATCAAGAAGGTAGTGGTTGGGCAATATTTCGTCACCATGATATCCTCAGCATCTCGCTCAGGGACTGCCTGACTGCCTGGGATGGTCGTCCCCCAGAACTTTGCCGAGCTGGCTCCTCAGACTTTTGGTCTCAGCTCAAAAATCCTCATATCCCCTGCCTTCTATTTGAAGTCCCTATCACACTTATCAGCACTTGAAATCAATCACCCTGGCCACTGGTGTGTTTCTCATCTCCCTTCATGACGCGTGTAAGTTCTGCCACTGGATCCCCAGCACCAAGGACAGGCCCTGGCTCCCAGGAGGATTTATTAATACAGTGTCTGTGGTCAGCCTAGAGAAACTGGCTGACCCCAGCCTGTCTCTCAGCATCTTCTAACTTTTCTCGTCTCCTCCCCATTTAATACACACTTCCAGAGTGCTCAGCCCCTGCTGACGTGAGCAATGGGTGGTGAGTCAGGCTGGATTTCTGCCCCTTGAGAAGCATACAGCCTGGTTTGGGAGGGGTGGGGCTCTCTCAGGGCTGTTTGGATATCTGGGTGGAGCTTGCAAACCAGCCCCCACCTTGTGTGATTAGGGCTTTGCTAGGAAGACCCGTCTGTGCGCCATCACCTTGGAACTCCACGTGAGACCCCTGGACCAGCAGCATCACTTGGAAGCTTGTCGGAAATGCTGATCTCAGGTGGGACTCTAGAATTCCCAGATTTGCACCTGCACCCCCAAAATACCTCCCACCAGATGACCTGAGGGCATGGGGCAGTCTGAAGAGCACTGTGCTGGGAGCCTGGGGTCCCACCCGTAGAGACCCAGTCCTGCAATCTGAAGATGTAAGTGCCCTGAGGAGAGGTGACGGAGTGACACAATTGACACAAGGGGAGGAGACCTGTCCGGTGTCCTCTCCTGACTGCAAGTTCCTGGGGCAGAAGGCAATGCTCCCACAGGGACTTTTCTAGAGGCTCTGAGTGCACGTGAATTGCACTTTGAGTGATGCTACCTGCTAAGGTAAATCCTACGCTGGAAAGCAGAGTGGGGGGAGGAGGGAGGCGAGGGTTGGGGGAGTATGTAATTGTGAGGATGAGCCTGAGATTTGGAGGCAGGTGGACTGGGTTCAAGTCCCTGCCCCAGGACTTTACAGAGCTGGGCAAGCCCCTCCACGTTTCTGGTCTCAGCTTCTGCATCTGGAAAATGGGTTCGTAATCTCATAAAGAGGCTGCTGGGAACACTCAATGAGAAAACACAGAAAAAAAAAACAACCCTCCTCCGTAAAGCGCTGTGCAGTAGTATTTATTGTTACAGTGTTAAAATTCACCTAGGAACCTCATCTTGTTCAGAGCCAGCTCATTTCCTCTGCAGCCACCAAATGCCCTTGTGTGTCAGGGCTCGGGAGATTCTTCTCGCTGGCCAGCCATCGGCAAGAATGCCAGACTCAGAGGTTGCCATTGCCCACAGGTTTTCTCCTCTCCGTTCATAGCAGGAAGAGCCCTCCAGAGCCTCAGAATGCAGGGCGGAAGTGGTGGTACCCAGGAAGCGTGGGCTCCGATGAAAAGGGAGTGCTGGGCCTGACTATGATCTCCTTCTCCCTAGGTCAGAGGGGCGTGGGTGCCCCTGGAGGGAATGCTGAGGTCACATCTGGCCAAATCTTTCTGTTCTGCCAGTACCCAGCCCTGTTCAGTGACCTCAAGCTTTTGGGTCCCCGTTCTGGGGCCCTCCTCGCCGGCCAGGCTGTGCAGAGATGCCCTTCTGCACACTCCCTCCTCTGCAGCCTGGGGTCCGAAAACAGCGTGAGAGACAGACAGAGTTCTAAAAGAAAGGTCCCACTCAGCCAAGGTCAAAGGGGCCTTGCAGAGGCACCCGGGGGATCAGGAAGCTGAGAGTCTACCAGGCAGGTGCCTTCTGCGCCCACGGGCACAGCTTTCCAAGAAACACATCCACATTGTCCCCAGGTCCAGATGCCACATCACCCTGCAGGGACCAAGACCACACTCCGGCTGCTTGGACGGGCATAGCAGGTCACTGTCCTTCCTGTAGCTGGCCCTTCTGTATCCTTTGACAATCAGCTCGAGCCTCTCCGCCAAGTCTCCACCTTCTGTTCTTCCTGCCCACCCTTGAAGCAGAGTTGACATTTCGGGTTTTTCCAGCAGTCAAAGCTCACCCAATGTGACTCAATTTCACAGTCAACCCATCCTCATGTTGAGGAACCAGCTCCAAGTGCTCACTTGGCTGCCAGGGATGGGGAGCCTCATGGGTGAGAGAGGGCTGCGATGGCATAATCTAAATCACACGAGGCATTTGCAGTTGCCTGTGTTGCCCCAGGCCTGCTGGCCTCCTGCTGTGAATGTTTGGGGCGAGACCGTCTCCGCCGGGGACCCCCAGTTGTCCACTTGTCCCCAGCAGGATCCAGGCTGGGAACAATGTAAGTGCCATTTCTGACAACCTGGGTGAACGTTGGTCTCAAATCATCAGCTCTGAGTCAGGCGCTCCGCTCAGTGCTGGCTCAGTCTGCGAGAATAGCTGCCTGCCCGAGCACGCTGCTGTTCCTGCCTCCCGAAAGGCAGATTCCGGGGTGCCAGGTCATCCAGGCCGGATGTGGCTTGGGAGTGACTTGCGGCACCAGGTAGGAGGGAGGTCTCACCTCCCCTCTCTCAGCTGTGGACTGCAGCTTCAGGACCCAGCGGATGAGGCTGGACGTCATGAAGATAACGGGATCTGGAATCTCAGCAAAGCCAAGCCACGTGCCAGAGATTCACCACCTGGGGCCCAGGATCAGAAGTGTGTCCCTTAGGAGGCCAAACATCCACCTGTCTACCAACTAGGCATTTGGTCTCAGATAGCAAGAAAAGCTGTGCTTATGTCGTTGTGGGGAAAGCCATGGTCTTCGGCACGAGAGAGGAGTAACTCTCAAGTTCATCAGAGCTTGGCGTCCCCCACGAGAGGAAACAATTTGGGTTTGTTTCTTAGAGGTTGACACAAGTGTTGCAAATCTTGGAAACTCAAACCCCAGTGCACATGGCCTCGAAGAAGGCCGAGCATCACGGTTCCAACAAGTGACTCGCTTTGATAACCCGACATGTAAGTAGAATTGCCATGCGTCCATCCTTCCCTAATCATCAGGTGGCTGTCGTCTGGTCAATGAACTGAAGCCCGAAGGCTTGAGTCAAACTGGCTTTCAAGGCTGGGCTGATGGGATTTATGTGTTTCTTGAGCCCTGTTGGAGGCTTTTGGCGAGTCTGAACATTGAACATTTCTTGTCCTCCTTCTGCACACTGCTCCAGCCGAAACAGAGTAGGAGGGAACCAGCTCCCTGTATTTCTGTGTTGTAAATGGGAAACTGGCTACCCCGTAACTTCCCATTGTCTCCTGAGAGGTTACAAAGTGTGTTACAGATATTAGCAAGTGTTAATCCTCACAATGGCCCTGGGAGGGAACCGGAAGTATTGTCGATGAAAACATTGAGGCACAGAGAGGTGAGGCCACTGGGAAGAAGCCACACAGCTTAACAGTGGCAGGTCAAGAAAAGGGCTGGGGTTCTCCCACCAACACTGAATGACTTTGCTCTGTGGAGTCTGTGTCTCGGCTAGGACCTTGGTGAGCATTCCCGTGTTTCAGGTGACAGGGACATCACAGGTTTGTTGGGTTAACATGTCAAGCATTTCCCTGCCCCAGATCCCAGACTTACCACCATGCCCCATACCGTTGTCACTGAGTGAAGATAATGGGGTTTGGAATCTCAACAAAACCAAGCCACAGGCCTGAGATTCACCATATGGGGCCATCGGCCATCCCTGATCCTGTCGTCCCAATATCTTTAATTTTGTGGATAGGATAGCTGCGTCTCCTAGAAATGTGGCTGCTAAGCCCCACTCCTACACGGATCATTCCCCGGCACCCCACTCAGTGTAGCCACTCGGGGGCTGGATCGGCAAACAGCTCTTCAACACGTCCACCCCCATGCATCACAGAGCTTTTCAGGCGAAAGGAATGACCAGCCCCCGTTTTACATTCTCCCAAGAGAGATTCAGGGAGCCCGATCAGGACCCAAGTTCTTGGTCAAGGAGGGCAAGGATGCTGCAGCCAGGACCCCCCCACCCCCACCCTGTCCGACGTCTTGGCAAGAGGCCGCACTTCCTGCACCCAGCTCTGCCCGCTCTGAGCACGGCCAGTGCACTGGGCGCTGGGGTGTGGGGTTGGGGTCCCCTCTGCTCCTTCTAGAAGGGTGTTTTGGGAAACTATGGGCCTCTTCCCACCTTGGCAGCTCAGTTTAGGGCTCCAGGGACTGCTTGGCTGCTCCACAGTGACCGCCACTCTGAAGTGGGGCCTGCGTATCCTGGATGGAGGTGGGGCTGGACACTGTGACAGGTCCTCTGGGCCAGTCTCCAGTTGAGCAGGGAAGTCCATGGCTCACCTAAGGCAGGTGCGCTGGTGTCTTCTCTCCTGGGCGCTGTGCAGCTGAAACCACAGAGTCTGTTGGAATTTTGCCCAGGAGCAGGGGACAGCCTCAGCCTGCGGCCACTATGTACAGTAGGAATGACCCCCGGGGCCATCTGGCTGCTCTTCCTTCCTGGGTCTCTCGTGATGGGTCTGGTGGAACCACCAGGTCCTTACACGTTGGTGACCTCCAGGCTGTTGTAGCCTTCCAGACGGCACTGTTCCAGCCTGCTCTGGGGGTCATCATCTCCGCAATCTTCATTTTGAAGAGAGCCATAGTCGTCATGGAAATCGGGGTCTTTGCTGCTGAAGCCTCTTCCTATCTTCCCCAGGGGCAGCTGAGAAGACAAGAATATGATCAAAGGACAGGAAGAAGAGAAAGAAGAATTAAGAATCGAGGTCTGGGAAACGTCTCCAATCCTAACTGCTCTGAGACCTTGAGTAACTTAGCCTCCGTGTGCTCCTCCTCTTAGTAATGATACTCCCTGCTCAGGGAGACTGAGCGGAGCTTGTGAGTGACCGCTAGGGGAGGGCTTTATGTCCCCACCCGGAAGGATTCAGTTGGTTACCAAGGGCAAGGACAAATATCGTCAGTCTAATTATTCCTGATTGAAAAAGTCTCCTTCTTCCCTTGCTGGTGGGTGGAGAGTTGAAGTGCGTCCTGGAGACTACCTGTGAGAATGTCTGAGCGGGCCCGTGAGGTCTCACTGCATTCCCAAGTCAAGGAGGAATATTCTAGATGGCCTGATGTGGCAGAAAGAATGCGGGTTTTGGCGACTCATCGACCCAGGTTCGGATCCCTGCTCTGCCCCTTCTCAGATGTGTGACCTTGGACAAGTCACTTCCTCTCTCTGGACCCATCTTCTGAGCTCCAAAATGGGAATAGTAGATTTTAAGTCCCAGGTTTGTGGTAAAAAGCGAAGTCCCACCAGTCTGGCCAACATGGTGAAACCCCGTCTCTCCCAAAAATATAAAAATGAGCCGGGCATGGTGGCGTGCTCCTGTAGTCCCCACTACTCAGGAGGCTGAGGCACGAGAATCGCTTGAACCCAGGAAGCAGAGGTTGCAGTGAGCTGAGATCGCGCCACTGCACTCCAGCTTGAAAGACAGAGCGAGACCCTGTCTCAAAAAAAAAAAAAAAAGTAAACTCCCATCTACAAAGTACATAGCAGGTGCTTGTACCGAGTAAGTACTTAATGGATAGTCATTCTTATTATCACACACAGTAGGCCTTCAACATACGTCTCTCTTACTGTACACTTCTGTGTGTTACAGTCACGTTAGTGCTTTGAAACTATTTATTTGACTGCCTTTCTTTCCGGACCAGTGTTTCCCAATCTTCTTCTTCTTCTTTTTTTTATTATTATTATGGCTCCCTAAGGAGACTTTTAGACCGCTTTCTCCTAATTGCACCCCTGCTGTGAAACTTTAATGCCACAGACATACTATGCTCTGCTATGTACCATAGGTACATCGGTGCTTTTACATAGAAGGAATAAGGATTTTTGCCACCCCCGCGACCCCTTGCCACCACCAAAACAAACTGCACTCTTTTGGGGACAATATCAGTCCCAGTGACCAGAAGGCACGTTCTAGAATGTGTTTCTTAAGGGTAAAGTGGCAATGTATTCATGCTTATGGATGTGTTCTTCACATGGCAGGAGTTTTGGATTACCCAGTTCTGCCATCTGTGTCTGTGCATTTCCATGGAGGAATCTGTGTCTGTTGGAGTCTGTGCGATCGAACCTGAGCTGCACTTGTTTTTATACTGTTTGCTTGGAGTCACCACAGGTTCATCTTAGCTATTAGTGAGGTCACTGATGTCCCAGATCGAAATCAGTGATTGCAGCTCAGAGTTTGGGGCTGCGCTGGAACCCTCTGGGCAGTCTGGCTGAATGTGGGATCCACCTTGCCCCAGAGATCTCGTGCTCCAGGAGGCCATGGTGGGTCCCAGAATCTGTCCGTTCAGTAACCGCCCCAGGTGAGTCTGATGCAGGCGGGCGAGGTCTGACTTTGAGATCCAGGCCACTACTCAAAGCCCTGTGGGGCCTCTGCACTGTACCTGAAGCATCGTGAAGGTTCCTCGAAGGTACATCCAGGTCATCTCTCCCGGATGCCCCCATGACCCAGCCTGGCACTCCACCTTCACAGGCCAACCCAGGAGCCACGGAGGTGCAGCCGGGAGGAGAAAAAAAGACCTGTTCTGGGTGTGCAGGATGCAGGCAAATACATCGAGGGGCTTACCCGGCCAGCCTTGGACTTGAGACCACTGCTGTTCTCCTCCTTCCCGGCCCGTGTGATGCTGGAGGCCCTGCCGGGGGGTGTTCCAAAACGCTCAGCCTCCCGGATGCCTGTGCAGCTGGGGAGAGGCCCATTTTGAGTCAGCAGGGGAGGCTCAGTCACCAACCCAGAGACACACACAAGCACACTGGTGACAATGACCGTGACTCATGACCTCCTATGTGCCGTCCTTGTGCTCAGCACTTTATAAGTGTGATTCTCACAATACGCCTGGGGCTTAGGGCTGCCAGCCCGGCACTACAGACGAGGGAGGAGGCCAGAGACAGCAAGCAATTTGCCCAAGATGACACAGCTATAAGCGGCAGAATCAAGATCTGAACTCAGTCCTCCAAAGTCTTGCTCTTAACTCCTGCAAACCTTACTGCAAAAGACTTGAGATGAGAATCTCAGCATGGTAGCTCATTAGTTGTGCTTGGAGAAGCCTGAGGAGTCTCTTCTGCTTCAAATTTGCAATCTGTGTCCCCTACCTGACTTGCTGCCTGAAGTTACCCCCATGACTCCCTTCTTTGTGCAAAGGCATTGAAGCTTCTGTTAGAATAGGATTTAGCCAGCTACAGCCTGCCTGCTGGCCAATTGCAGCGGGCAGACTGATTTGATAAATAAAGTTTTATTGGAACTCAGCTGTGCCCGTTCACTTATGTGTTGTCTATGACAGCTGTCTTGCTATAAGGACAGAGTTGTAGACTTTTGACAGAGATATTCTCTGGACTTTTACAGAAAAAGTCTGCATATTGATGCTGTGGATAAAGAGAGTCAGGGCAAGAGGCTCAGCCAGGAGCCAGACTCTCCACGGAGGTAGAATCATTAAAAGAAATGAAACTTCTAGGCCAGGTATGGTGGCTCATGCCTGTAATCCCAGCACTGTGGGAGGCCATGCGTGTGGATGACTTGAGGCCAGGAGTTCGAGACCAGCCTGGTCAACATGGTGAAACCCCATCTCTACTAAAAGTACAAAAAGAATTAGCTGGGCATGGTGGTGCACACCTGTAATCCCAGCTACTCTGAAGCTAAGGTTGAACCTCAGAAGAATCCCTTGAACCCTGGAGGTGGAGGTTGCAGTGAGCCAGGTTCGTGGTGGCACTGCACTCCAGCCTGGGCTGCAGAGCGAGACTCTGTCTCAGAAAAAAAGAAAAAAGAAAAAAAAAAAAAAAAAAAAAAGAACCTTCTAGCATCTTTTAAGCTGCCTCAGAGAAGCTCTTCTTCTTCTGGGGCAAATTTTGCTGAGAAAGTTCCAGGGAGGGGAGTGGTGTATAGGAGACAGCACTGATTGAATGGAAAAGGAGCCACATTCTCGAACCCACGGTTCCACAGGCTTCCACATAACAGGCAGGCCCTTGCTCCGTGGTGGGTCAGGAAATGAGGTCTTCATGAATACCCTCTCTCCTCTACCTGGAGGAAGCAGTTCTAATGGCAGAAGCCACAGAATCTGCCATGTTGCCCAGGCTAGTCTCGAACTTCTGGGCTCTAGTGATCTACTGGCCTCGACCTCCCGAAGTGCTGGGATTACAAGCGTGAGCCACAGTGCTTGGCCAGCCCTGGTCTTAACAAGCTGTCCCCTGCATAGAAAGTGGGTGCCTTTCTGTAGCCAAAGGAGTATGGGGTAACCTTGGCCTCCATTGTGCCAAAGTATTCTCCCTCCTTATTTTTTTCCATAGTGGCTGAAATCCACCCCCATCTAGGCCTTTGGATTAAATCCCATGAAAACACAGAAGCTCTAGGGGATAAGCCAAGCACAGGGCTGAGGTCTTCAGAAGCTTTGAACTGACCTATTAAGTATTTCTAGTCACTTAGACCTCGAGGAAATGGTACGGTGGGAGGAGGCCTTTTGATGAGGGAAAGTTGTGGAGAACGGGGCATCTCACTGGAATCTCCTGAGTCGATGTAGGGCATTCCAGGCACTAAATAGGCATTGTGGTACAGGAAGGAAGGTTAGGGGATGGGAGCCAGCCTCTGCCAGCTGGGCCGTCCTGAGTGTTGAGTCTCAACCCATTAGCCAAGGATTTACAAGTCCGGAGAGGCGTAAGATGCTGTAGTGGAGAAAATGAATGGGAAAGAAAGAGTACTCATGGGCCACCCCCACGTGCTGGCACACTGTCAGCTCCTCACCGCAGTGGCTCAGGAAACCCTCTGCAAAGCCCTGGGAAGAAGAGTGATCATCCCCATTGCAAGCTGAAAAAACTGCGACTCAGAAAGGGTAAGGTTCTTGTCTCAAAGACTGGATAAAGAAAACGTGTCACATGTACACCATGGAATACTATGCAGCCATAAAAAGGATGGGTTCATGTCCTTTGCAGGGACATGGATGAAGCCGGAAACCATCATTCTCAGCAAACTAACACAGAAACAGAAAACCAAACACCGCATGTTCTCACTCATAAGTGGGAATTGGACAATGAGAACACATGAACCCGGGGAGGGGAACATCACACACCGGGGACTGTTGGGAGGTGGGGGGCTAGGGGAGGGAGAGCATTACGAGAAATACTTAATGTAGGTGACGGGGTGATGGGTGCAGCCAACCACCATGGCACGTGTATACCTGTGTAACAAACCTGCATGTTCTGCATATGTATTCCAGAATTTAAAGTTCAAGAAAAAAAAAATGCAGCCTCAAAGACCCCACTGGGCTCCATGGCACACAGGCCCACGCCTCTGGGCACTGAGCTGACCCAGTGTCTGGAGTCTGGGCTCACATTTCAGGGATGGTCTGAGGGTGGGGCGGGCAGAGTCTCATACGAGCTCAATGCGTCCTTTCACCACCATTTGGGTGGCCTGCTGAGTGACCGGAGAATAAATGTTTTCCATCGCCCCTGTCTTGGGAAGCCTGTCAGCCAAGGAGGTAGAACAGGTGACTAGGTTCTTTTATTCTGTGTTTGAGGGTCAAGTCTATTTGAGTTTGTAATGGAATTGTTCTTCTCCATTGGAATGCTAATGAGAATGCTGGAGCAAATTGACAGGAGACTCCCATGCAGCTATTCCAGAGGAAATGGTTGGCTGCTTGGAGATTCTTCTGTCTCCAGATGAAGGCAGGAGCAGAAGCTGTCAGTTACGGAGGGCATCTATGCATCAAGCGGGCTGCATACACTTTGCCTCACTGAACCTTTGCAAAGCTACAGGGTCGGTATGAGTCACCTGCCCTGTTACAGAGGAAGAAACTGAAGCTCAGAGAGGTAAAACCACTCGCTCATGTTCAACACAGCAAGAAAGCAGTGATGCTGGGACTCCAACCCACATTGCAGCCATTACCCCGCAGAGGAGGAACGGGAGGCGGCAGTCGTGGGGCTAGGGCTGGGATTGGAATAAATCGCTATTTATATTATTAGGTGTCTTTTGATGTACCGGTTCCTTTGCCAATTGCTTTATGCATTGTCTTACCTCATCTTGCCGTCGACTCTTTGGGTGGCAGATACTGATTATCATACTCATTTTGCAAATGAGGCGAGTAGGGTTCAGAGAAGTTAAGTAACTTGCCCAAGGTCACACAGCGGGGATTGGTGCTGCTGGGGTTTGAACCTGGGTTGCCTGGGGCTAGAGTGCCACAAGGCGTTCTGGATGGGTTTACGTCTTCACTTAGTTGTCTATGAAACTAGTCTTGACTGGATGGAAGACAAAGCCTTTCTTGGATGAGCAGAGACCCTCAGAGATCCATTTTAAAAAAAGGGAAAGAGAGGAAACCTGGAGCGGGAGCAGGCCCTGGGCTGGAACTCCACACCACCCACCTGCGAGGGCTTCTTCCCTCTCTGTAAGCTTCGTGAGGGCAGGACATGGATCACTCAAATGCCTGCTCACAGCAGGTGTTCAATGACTGCGGAGGGTGGCTTTCATGGCAAAATGGGCACTATTCCAGCCTAGATCCCAGGGGACAGAGATCAGTTCCTGAAAGAGCTTCTGACTAGTAGAGATCTGGTTCCAGTCCTGCTCCTCTGTTTTAGTGACAGGACATATCGCCTTCACGGCACAGTTGGGGAGTGATCATGCGTTTTCATCAAAATGTTTGTTTTGGCTCTGCCAGTTCCCTGGCAGGTGCCTTTGGGACACCCCTGCTCCCCACGGCATTCTTCCTGCCCACTGGTTTTATTCTCCAGGTCCTTAACGCACAGTCCTGTGACTGACACATTGTTGGTGCTGGACCGAGGTTTACTGGGAGAGGCAGGAAGTCAGTGTGTGTCAAAGCAGATATCGTGAGACTGCAGCAGAGACTTCTTGTTGGTGCCTTTGGGTCACGTGCATTGACAAAGTGGTGGGAGGAGGCTGGAGATGACGTCATATTGAGGCCCATAGCTCTTGGTGACTGTGGACCTGGGCAGAGTCATTTCCCTTCTGTCTTGTCATTGGGAGGTTCATTGCTTTCATCTCATTCTTGAAGGAGTCCCTGCCCTACAGAAACATAAGAACCCACTCTACTCGTCCCCAGCAGTCCCTTCTCTGGTGCTCCCTGACTAGTCTTAGACAGTCCTGAACACACCTGTCACCTCATGGGTGGTCAAGGGTTTAATCAGATTCACGAATGCCTGCTAATATTTAGCTAGAGCCGCCTCTCCAGGGCTCAGAAAAAAAGTCTGTTACAGATCATGCGGCTCCAGAAGGGAGGTCAGGGGACGGGGATGATGCTGAGGAGAAAAGCCTTTTTCCTGGGTCTTTTGATTCAATCGCTCCTGGAAGAGGGTTTTGTTTTTGTTTTTCTGTTTTGTAGAGATGGACCCTCGCTCTGTCACCCAGGCTAGAGTGCAGCGACATAGTCATAGCTCACTGAAGCCTCACACTCCCGGGCTCAAGTCAACCCCCGCCTCAGCCTCCTGAGTAGCTGGGATCAGATGGTGCACTCCACCACCCCCAGCTGGTTTTTTAAATTTCTGGTAGAGACAAGGTCTAGGTCTCCCTATGTTGCCCAGGCTGATCTTGAACTCCTGGGCTCAAGCAATCCTCCCTCCTCAGCCTCCCAAAGTGCTGAGATTGCAGGCATGAGCTACCATGCCTGGTCTGAAATAGAGTTCTTATCAAACACTGTCTCCATAAAACCACCCCAGAATTCTAAAAATGTAGATCCCCGTGCCTCTGCCAGCAGATACTGGTCCTGCAAGTCTGAGATAGGACCAGGGAATCTGCATTTTACAACAGCTTCAGCGATTCTGCTGCAGGGCTCTGTGGGCCTCCCTTTGAGAACAGCTTGGGTGTCAGCCTGCCAGGAGGGAAGAGCAGTCGGGGACACCTGGACCCTGCTATCCATGCACACTTTTTCCTAAGCCTCAGTTTCTCCACCTGTATAACATGGGGAGTGGCCCAGCTGCTCCCTAAGGCCCCATGTGGTTTGGGGGTTTAGCACTCAGGCCTGAGTTAAAGAGCCCTAGGGTCACATCTGGGCTCTGTCAACAAAACCAACAAACCTTTAGGTAGGCTAGAAAAAAAAAAAAAAAAAAAAAGAACAAAACTCAAACTCAGATCACTAAAACCAGGAGTGAGTGAATGAGTGAGAGAATATGACTGTGAGCATTACAGAGATAAGAGGCATTATAAGAAAACAATTACGTGATCAACTGCATGCCACCAAATTAGCTAACCTAGATGAAATGGACCAGTTTCTAGAAAGATATAAGCTACTGAAACTGCCTCAGGAAGAAATAGAAAATCTGAATCTAACAAGTGAAGAGATTGAATTAGAAGTCAAAAAGCTTCCCAGAAAGAAAAGCCTATGACCAGATGGTTTCACTGGTGAATTCTAGTAAATGTCTAAAGAACAATGAACACCAATCCTTCCAAACTTTTCCAAAAAAACCAATTCTTGCTAGGAGGCCTATATTACTCTGATATCAAAATCAAACAAAAATGTTACAAAGAAGGGAAACTGCAGACCAATATTCCTTATAAATATAGATGCAAGTATTTTCAACAGCATACTAACACATTTAATCCAGTGATATGTAAAAAGGATTAAACACTGTGGTCATGTGAGGATTATCCTGGGAATGCAAGGTTGGTTTGACTTACGAAATTCAATCAATATAGTACACCATTGATAGAATCAAGGACAAATCTAGGATTTGCTGCTTACTTAGCTGTGTATCTTGGGCACATAGCTTGGTACCTTTGAAGAAGTTTCTCCATCTATAAAGGAGGGATAGTGCTACTGATCTCTTGACATTGCCAGGAGGATGAAATTAGATAGTTCACACAGCAAGCATTCAATAAATGGTCATCTAACCCTAAGTGCATCATTTTAAAAGAAGAGAATCCACTGGGAGGGGGACTGGTTTATGCCCAGATGTTCATTCTCTGGTCACTTTTTAGATGAGGATAGTAGGACAGGTAGGCTGATGTGGTCTGCTCACCTGGTTCATAAGCATCGTTAATATGCTCATTCTTGCCTCCAAATCTTTGTCCCCAGAGTTGCCCCACCTGGACCAACCAACTCATCCTATTAGGCCAATGCAAGTCCCCCCAGCTGAGTCCACTTGCACGTGGCCTTTCCTTACACATGCACTGCTTGCTGTCTCTTCTCTAAACACCTGGATGTTTTTGGATTTAATATGTACCTAATTCAAGGCCTGACCTCTCCTCTACCTCCTTCTAGTCTGTGACCTTCAGACTAAGGCACTTTGATTCTCTGAGCCTTGGTTTCCTGAACTGCCTCAGGAAGAAACAGAAAATCTGAATATACCTCTAACAAGTGAGGAGATGGAATTAGACGTCAAAAAGCTTCCCAGAAAGAAAAGCCTAGGACCAGATGGCTTCTGTGAAAGGAGACCACCCTAATGCAAAGAATAAGTGAGAGGCAGTAAGTGACGGGCCAGGATGGGGAGCTGGACCATCTGCTTCCAGAGCCCTGAGCTGCTGTACTGTGCCCAGCAGCCCACACCACTGGAGCCCGGCCCGTGCTCACTTAGCCGGATGGAAGACGGCACTCATCTCCTCCGCCAGGTGTCTCCGGAGGATGTGTTTCCCACTGGGGATGCCCAGGGCCGTGGCCATGGCCTCGGCGTTGAACGTTGGCTCCAGCACCAGCACAGCCCCGTGGACGCCGCTGTTGGTCAGGTTGTCTGCGTAC